GTACGTGGAAGGGGGGACCAAAACTAGAAGAGACAACATAACTCTAATGGCCTAGTTTGAATTTTTTTTTAATTTCGCTCATGTGGGGGTCCAAGACAAGATAACGTCAAATTCTATTCATGATTATTTCTTTCTTTTTTTTTACAATTTATGGCAGTCGTGCTGAAATTCGGGTAGTAAATCAATATAAAAAAAAGAGAGCACTATATGTTTTTTTGAACATCTGTTAAAGATCAACAAAAAAAAAAAAAAATCTGTTAAAGATAAGCACTATATTGAAACTAAAAACAAGTAAAAAAGAATTATATGGAAATAAATATAAATACAGAAATGGATCTGAGTAAGAAGAAACATGCAACGAATTAAAAAGAACGCACATGCCTTTTCTATCTCTTCTTCCATTTCCAAGTGGTCCTTAAAATCTTCTTCCATTTTTGGATTCCTATTTGCATGTACCCTAACTTTCTTAGATCCTCTCTATTTATTATTGTAACGTTTCTTTGTTCTATTCTATATATCTTTTTAATTATATTAAATGGAAAGTTTTTAGTTTCGTTGTGGAAATCATTCTAATGACTGACGCATAAAAAAAGTGTTTAGTTTCTTGATATAGGTAGGTACACAGTCACAGCAACACCACCATATTTTTTATGTAGAAACAAGTACAATGCATATCACACATTATTTTAGGTGAATTCCAGTGTATAACGCAGGACAATATATAGTTTAAAAACAAAACTGAAAAGTAATTTGATATTGTGTGGATGATGGTATTAATCATTAGAATGTGTAAAAGAAATATGTGTAAGCTTGCGAGAACTTGCTCAATCAAGTTTTTAAACTGATTTCTATTTATATGTACAAGACCAGTTAATGTGTCATGAGTAGTATATGTCACTGATGAAGAAACAAAACTCAATCTACATATATATATCCCTCCAATACTTTAAACACCTAAAGCATAAAGAAATGGTGAATATTAAGGAAAAAATTATTCTCCAACTTCTAGTAAAAACTTATATATTGACATCTAACTTCTGTTAAAGGACGCTCTTTTATATTCTGAAACAATTTCAATTTGAGCATTCTTCGGCTCTCTGTTTTTTTTTTGGATAAATTTTTGATAATGTACGAGTTTTTGGATAAGTTTTTGATATTGTATGAATGTGTAACATAACGTATATGTGAAAACATAAATTATCTCAATCAAACGAAAAGTTGAATTCGTAATTAATTAAATAAATTAAATCCTAATCCTTTTCAAGGAAATCGTTGCTAGTCATGAACAAGACAACGAGACAATTATACCAATCAATCAATAGATATATAGATCGATTCTTAGGACTTTGACAGATGAAAATTATAGAGTAGATATACAAGTCATTTAATACAGGGTTCACCATATTTTAATCTGACTAATGAAATTAAGAGCTGTAAAAAACAGTAATGAAATTAAGTAAGCATAGAATCTTTTATCGCCATGTAAACTAACGCAAAAATATCTGTGAAATGCAAGAAAGCAAAGCATGAAATCGAATCAATTTAATTGTGCTACACAAATCAAGCCAAATCGAATACTGAATTTAACAACAACATGTAAACATTAATTAAAGAACCTGTGTGTATGAATGGATATTAATGTGAAACCCTCTAGTGGGTCATGAAAATGAAATGTCACGGTGGATTATGCCCTAATCGAAGTTCAAGATCAGGCTCATCCACTGATGCTCTCGTCGTCTCTTTCATCGAGCCGTTGCTCTCATCATCTCCTGTCGAATATTCAATAAGCCGAGGAGGAGCTTCTACCGGCGAATTCAACACCGAAAACGCAAGATTGCTCGAAGGAAACGAAGTCGTACCATAGAGATTCATCATATCACCGGAATTACCAAAAATGCCATTAGGGTTTTGCAATTGGTAGAAATGGGACAAACCTTCAATGTTACTCGCCGTGGATTGGATTATAAGCGTTGGTGGAACACAAGAATTGAGGAACGTCGAGCCACTGCCTCCTCGACTGCCTCCACCACCGCCCCTAGCCGCCGCGGCTACGGGACCTTGATGAGCCCTAGATGAGGCACGGTCACGGCGGTGAACGTTCATGTGACCGCCTAAGGCTTGAGCAGAACGGAACTCACGGCGACAGAAATTGCAAGTGTAGGATCTTGGAGGCCAAGTAGTACCAGAGATGTTGCCTTTAGTGTCTTGCTCAAAGGCTTTGACTTCCCAAGATTCATCATCATCCTCCATTAATTCTTCAACTTTGTTAGGGTTCCACATCCATGCACCACCGTACATTCAAGGATGAGTTTTTTTTTTTTTTTTGGTATAGAAATCTTAGTAGAGAAGAGAATAAGAAGAAGATGGGGTTGATAGATAATGATGTAAATAATAAATGTAGAGATGGACCCGAGATTTATATAGATCATTTTATCTTCAAGTGATCATTTTCAGTAAATGGAAAAAAAATGTTTTGACCATTTCAAATTTCACCGAGGATAAGAGAAGAAAAGTTGTCTTATATTGAAGTTTCTGTCACAACATTTGCAACATAATATAGTCTTTCTATCAACTTCATTGCAAACAAATATATTGCTATTATATATGTCGAATTTTAAAAAAATTAAAAATTAAAAATTTCTATTAGTTACAGATATTAAACTGCCAAATTTACATTAATTACAACTTTTGATATTTTGTAACCCTAGATATGTTTTTAGATGTTCATCTTGTATCGTTCGTCAATATTGGTGTTTTGTAATAAAAACAAAATCAAGTCCGATATTGCATTTAAATTAGGAAACCCAATTATAGAAAAAAAAAGTGTAAATTTTAAATAGGTGAAGATTTAAAGAGAAAAGAGTAAGCTAAGACTTTGATGTCCTATGTAAGGTTAAGACAAAGTTTGTTTGCTTTAAATGGTGGCAATGATCTTAGCTTTGCGTGATCACTACTAAGAGCATCATTAACAATGATACAATGTGAGTATCATTAAATATAAAATTATTAAAATTTGAGTAAAAAAAAGAAAGAAAATGTTTTTTTGAAATAATGGGGTGTATTGAAATATAAAATTAATAAAATTTAAGTAAAGAGAAGAGATAGTGGGTATTTTTTGAGAGAAAGAGTATCAAAAATGTCAAATAGTTGATACTTTTGAAGAGAGAAAGAGTGTGTTTTTAATAATTTTATATTTAAAGAGATTATAAAATTAATAAAAATTGAGTAAAAAGATGAAAGAGAATGTATAAAGTTAAGTAAAAGGAAGAGAGAATGTGTTTTTAATAATTTTATATTTAATGATATCCACATTGTATTATGGATAATGATGGCCTAAGATTCTCTTGTTAGAATCTGACACATGACTTATATATGTAGCTTTACACTGTCACATTATTTCCCTAGCTATATTTTACATAATTATCCTATCACACAAGTATGAAACTAAAAAAATGATGTAAAACAAAAAAGGTATGAACTCAATCTATATTTATTTAAGTAAACTTTGATATATAGAAAACAATTAGTTCGATTTAAAAAAAAACAAATTTGGGGATTTAAAAAAAAAACAGAAAACAGAAGAGCTGAAAGTGATGGGCCTTAATTTCTGAAAGATATTTGCCATATAAAGTTACAGTTACATTGCATGGTTGGCAATGTAGTTAGATTTCAACTAGATTACTCTTTCGTTCGATCCATATAGATCCAATTTGTTTTGTCATCATATTTTCAATCTAATAAAAATATTATAAAATGCTACTAAAATTTACCTTATAAAATAGTAATACACAATAAATGAGAAGTGTCGGCCCAAATAATGGTCATTGTGGATCCATTTTGACTTTGTTGATCTAACTTCAAATGGCCCATTGGAGAGTAGTTTAGGCCTTCTAATTATATTTGAAGAGCCATTTTCATTTTGTTGATGTAAACCCTTAATTCTACTTGTATAAAATACTGGCTGAAATTAGCGTTACTTGCTCTTGTGCAATTATATTTTTTTCATCTGAAGATATTTTACTGAGTTTTGGATACGGAATTTATACAAAACCCACAAAGGTAGAGATCCTTCCGAAGATAAAATCAAAGGCTCCCGAAACAAAGTCGGCGAATTTAGAAAACCCTTGGAATCAAAACATAAATCTTCATTTGTACCTTCGATTTAAACTAATGTACCAGTGGTGATACATTCGTGTGTG